GGTGCTCATCCGCAGTGCATCCTCTGATTGGCTGAGGGAGGAGGAACCAAGGGGGGGCTTTGCTCCCCTCCCCCTACTATGTGTGCACTGTAGAAAGGAGAGGAGCTGAGACGAACACGCAGCTCAGAGCGCATAGACTCGGTTTTAGTGCTGCATACTCAAGGGAGCTCAGGCTACTAGAAGAAGCAACCATAGAAAAGACTCATCAATCTTCATTACACTCCATTGAACCATCATTGTCTATGGGCTTTAGTGCTTATTTGAAGCAGCTAGTTGACCACAGCCTGTCTCGCTCAACTAAAAGCTTTGAGCTTGTTTGAAGCAGAAGCAGTAGAAAAGTGACCATGGGCAGACAGAGCCACGATGGCAGCACCGGATCGGCCAGCGGAGGAGGAGGAAACGGCCGCATGCAGCGCTCCCAAAGCCGCATGAGCCTGTCGGCCTCCTTCGAGGCGCTGGCCGTGTATTTCCCCTGCATGAATTCCTTCGACGAGGAGGACGGAGGTAAGGGCAGGAAGAGAGGTGGTCAAAAGTGACATCAGAGGAGATGATATGTCAATTGCTTTAAGAGTACATGCATGTCTTGAATGGAGGTCTAATGATGAAGGCTTGGAAATGAAATTAGTATCAATGTCAAGATAAGGTGGTTGTGTGGTTGCAAGGTTGTATGTTGAGTATAGATGCCTACTGGTGGCATTCGTGCACAGTGGTTTGGAAGAACATTGTTTTGCAGGAAAATACTGCCAAAACATGACTATTGATGAAGGCTGTTGCTCGGAATTGAGATTACCTTTAATGCTAAGACATGTGTGGTTGCTTCTGTTTGCGCATGCAAGCCGTGCTGTCAGCTTGGGGAATTCAGTTTTGTAAGAAAATTTTGCGTATATATCTTGTCTGGAGGTCTGTTGATGCAAGTTATTGACATTTTTGTTCACATCATGATTTGTGATTATTACCTTAGATACCATATAAATGCATGTTTGTTGTGCATGAGATGTATGTGAAAACATATATGCCTTTGGGTGGATTTTTTTTGTTTCAGTTTGGAAGAATATTGAATTTCGTAGGATAACAGTGTGAAGATGTGTAAATGCATGGTTGGAAGTTATGCACATGAAGACAGACGTGTATATAAAGTGCCATATTGCTTTCAGTCTGGATAAGTAATGAGTTTTGTAGAGTAACACATTATTTTCAGTGTGATTCTTGGTCATGTGATCTCAATCCTACAAGACAATGGTTTTCTTGTGAGAGTATGCAATACTATTCCCCGTATTAGCATGTGATGCTCATTCAAATGCTAGTGGCCGTACTTTCGATGTGCTTATGAATGAAAACTGCCTGAAGATGGCGTTGATATATCTTTTCCTAGCTTTAGCCAAGGATATTATCATGAAACAAGCTCACGAGGCTGTGTAGCTAGTTATCCTGACCTTGAAACCTCTAGCTTGCTCCTTCTATCTCTGTTAGCTTCTTGGCGTTAATAAGATCGAAGATGGCTGAAGAAAAAATCTCCCTCGGCCGTTTTTGATATATTTAATTTTGTTAAAATGAGAATGGGCTTTGTCCATGAAAGAAGGACTTAACTACAGTGTCCCGAATCCGATCTATAATCTTGTTTAATAGCATCAGTAATGAACAGTAGCATCAATGCTAATACTCTCTGCTTGGTCCGGCTAATGTAGATAGCCTTCATTCAGCTCCGTCAGATCTAATGGAGGATAAAAAGGCATAATTAGGAAGAGGCAGCCAATGGTCTCTTCCTTCTGCAGATATCATTTGGAAATGAGTTTATCTTTCGGAGGTAATTATGACCCTATTAACGAGGGCATTAGCGTTACCAGCGTTGATTAGCCCAGGCAGTCATGATTGTTTGATTGCGGTACTATTGTCACTGGAGGGTTTGTGTGTGGTCAGTGAGTTTTTTCAGCATTTCTTGAGAATTCACTGTTGTTTGTTGTACTCAGCTGCTATTTAGAGTGAAGTATAAAGGCGGATGATGCTGAATCACAAGGACTGTGCATGTGGTGGTAAAATCATCCCTACTTCCTGGCATTTGTCTCAGTATGTCTGCTCACAAAAATATTTATCTGAACAGAAACTGTGCCCTTATTTAGAAACAATATATCTGCATTATCACATTAGCACTTGGATCAGTGCAGTTAAAGATGACAGTCTCAGCTCTAGGGCCACACTCAAAGCTCTGAGGAAAAAAATGGGGTTGTGTTTACGTTTGTTTGTGACAGTAGGCTCATCTAGTTCTCTGAGGATTGGTCATATGTGTTATTAGAACACCATCTGTCATCGGACACATTCATTTCCAGGTATTTTTGCATTTACTAAATAATGCACCGCTATGGGAATTGTGGGCCTGAAATCAATATACAATGTTTTTCTTGTACGTATTGACAGATGCCAATACATCAACATTTATGAAATGTATAAATTGGCACTAGAGATACCTGATTTAGCATTATAGAAATATAACATCTATTTCTTTAGGGTTATAAATGCAGTAAAATGAATAATTCAGACATGTTAACACAGTAGTCCAGCATCACATAAACATTCTGTTCTTAGAATATGTACGGTACATATACAGTGCAGTATATAGAGTTGTATGCAAAAGTTAGAACACCCCTGGTCAAATAACTGTTGGTGATTTTCTAAGCGGAATTAAGTTAAAACATCCTCTACAGAGAACAAACTTTTCTATGGCTTTTTTCTACAACTTTTAGTGCACAATTTGTATTTATTTGCCAAGTTTAACATATTAGAAAAAATAATACCTAAAATATAAAATGTGCCATAGCTTTTTAGATTTTTCCCTAATACGTTAAATATCGGTTTCAAATATTCTAAATCTAAACATCTGTCCGATGCCAGTACTTTTATAAAGCAAATACCTGCCGATACTGATTTTATTCGGATGTCATCGCACCACCCTAATGAAAACCTTCTTTATTTTGCTTCAGGGACAACTTCTCTCTTTTTTGTACATATTACTGTATATGTCATAGTACTTTCTTTTTTTGGGTAGCTAATATGCATGTTTAAACTATTTTCAGCTTGGATTAGTTGAATTGTCAAAACACAAAGGACACAGTGGTTCTTTTGTCCACCATGAAGCGATATTTCATCAACATTAGCAGATACATTAGTATTATAGTATTAGTAAACCTACATACCTCACCTAGCAGTGTCATAGTGGTTAGTGACTAACTTACAGTAGCTACTGAATATTAGGCCTAAAGTTTAAATGACTGTAAAGTGCTTAGGAGATGCTGGTTTCCCTGATGCTTTGGGTTGTGCGTTGTCTGGTGCCAGTGACTGTGTTGTGGACAGCCCCTAACTGGGTGTGCAGGCTAGAGATGAGGGGGTGGCACAGTGGCACAGGGTGGAGCGGAGCAGTAACAGGGGTCACGTGTGGATGCACAGTGCCTGTCACTTCCCCACCCCAAGATGAGCAGCAGGTCTGATAAAGCAAGTCAGCTGTCACCTTACATCAGCTGAGGAAGCCCAGAGGAGCTCTGTGTGTGCGTGTGTGTGTTTGTGTGTGAGTGAGATGAAGTGTGTTGCATTCTGTCTTGTACTAAAGGGCACTGGTAAGACAATAAGCACCAAGCTTTATGAGTAGCTGTCTGTTTTCCTTGCACTATGTAGTACTATACAGTAGAACTGTAGAATTGCCAAATTGCGCTGTGCACCAGAGATGGGGACTCAAGTCAGCGACTCAGGCTTGAGTCACATGTTGACTGACTTGTGACTTCAGTTGGATACGGCATTAATGACTCATTAATGAATTTCAGCCTGAGAAAAAAGCATCAACAAAACTGATAACAGTGGCAAATTAATAAAACTTCAACAAAACATTTCCAACTTGCATGTCAGTTTTGCAATGTCATGCGCAGTAATGCTCTTCTCCTGCAGCTCACAGTGGTGTCAGGTTCAATACTGCTTCATTAAAATAAGTATTTCTTTATAGAAAAACACTTAGTCTGATGGACAGAGTAAAGTGCTACATGTAGTAAATGCAGTGTATAAAGGAAAGAGGCAAAACAGCTTGAAACTGTTGGTTAGCGTGTAATTTGAAAAGGATGCTACATAGCTAATAAAGATGATAGCTAATCTAGCCAAAGTTTTAGTAAGTTACAGATCACATTCTTTAAAACCTTAAATACACTGAACTTAAACCTCAGCTAGATTAGTTATTACACTAGCTAATTACCATACTTGTTATACAAACTAACTGTTTCAAGGTTTTTCGCCTCTTTTTTTGGGAATCACATTAATTGCATGTAGTGCTTCAGTTCTGCTCTTCAACCTGAAGGTTTGCAGTGATTAAAGGTTTATTTTTTGAAGCTGACAGGTTTTTAGTAGAGGGTAACTTCTATAGAAAGCAACGCCTGCTGCTAGTAATAAGACTAAACTGTAATTCTATCTTAAAGACCTGAGACTCAGGACTCAACATGTAAACATCTCTGCTATACACTAAGGTTCCAGTTTATTAGAAACACATTCCCTGTAGCAACACACATTGGCCATTTTATTGGAAACACCAACATATATTTGCATTTTTAGGTTTACTATTACTCTCCCTAGTCCATCTGTTAATGGACAGTTAATCAGCCCTACCTACCCTGTCCATCAATGGGAAAAGACCACAATAGCACTGCCACTAGTGAGTGATACCTAAGTGGTAGACCATTCTCAGCACAGCAGCGGCACTATCATGATAGTGGCATGTTGGTGGGCATTGAACTGCTACAAGTAGAACGCACTACAAGGGTGTTGCACATCTATTTTATAGAATTTGTGTGATTAGTTCTGAGACTATCTGATAAACTCTAGTGGAGATTGTTGAGTGTCCTGTAGGCTTTATTGCTTGTTTATTTTTTTTTTCGAACTCCAGTGCCTCTTCCTGCGTCCCAGAGCAGCACAAAATTCACTCTGAAACCATGACTGATAATCTCATTTTGTCTCCCTCTGTCTCTCTGCAGAAGCCGGAGGGAAGAAATTGCGAAGCACGATTCAGAGGAGCACAGAAACAGGCCTGGCTGTGGAGATGAGAAACAGAATGACCCGGCAGGCCAGTCGCGAATCCACAGACGGAAGCATGAACAGCTTTAGCTCCGAGGGAAAGTTAGTAGTACAGGCACACTGAGAAAACACACACCCAAGCCCTGTTGCAGCTGGATTAATTTTACCTGAGGATGTACAGTAATGTAAATGATTACCAGTCAGATCCTGTAGTGTCTGTAGTTTGACAGTAATAATTGTAGAGAGAATGTCCTTCTGTAATTGGCTGAATCTGGAGCTCCTTCAAAACCTGTTAATGGACATGGCTGTGCGCTGTGTTGTTATTGTTATTGAATATGGTGGTGGCACATAAATTCATACATCCAGACTATTACACACATACTTTGTCCCTTGTAAATCATCCAGTCTCACATTAGACAACCTCCTCTGGGAGAACTAATCCAGCTCAAATAAGCCAGAATAATGCTTTAATGCTTATGCCGTGCTTATTTTATATGTTCTTGGATTTGAGAGTTTTGGTAACCAAAGTTGGCTCTATTACAGCCTCATCTTCCCTGGAGTGAGACTGTCTTCAGACAGCCAGTTTAGTGACTTCCTGGATGGACTAGGCCCTGCTCAACTGGTGGGCAGACAGACTTTGGCCACACCTCCTATGGGTAAGAGCTAAAACTAATCCTTTTTTTTGCCTTATTTTGTATACACATTCTTGCCTCTCTTAAGAGAAGAAGCCTGCAATAGTAGAACCAATGATGTGCTCTGAACTTACTATATCATTCATTCTGGATAATTTCTTTCCACATACAGGCGACATTCAGATCGGAATGGTGGAGAAGAAAGGAGCCCTGGAGGTGGAAGTCATTCGGGCCAGAGGCCTCGTGGGGAAACCAGGATCCAAGGCACTGCCAGGTAAGAGTCCAGTTGGATCACTGAACTGCACCACCGATTTCCTAGTAAACCCACACCTGTGCCTAAACTCCGTCATCTCCTTCTGTTTTCATCCAGCCCCTTACGTGAAGGTCTACCTTTTGGAGAATGGAGCCTGCATAGCCAAAAAGAAAACAAAAGTAGCACGCAAAACCTTGGACCCTCTTTACCAGCAGCAACTGTCATTTGAGGAGAGTCCAGGAGGGAAGGTCTTACAGGTGAGCATCTAGTTCACCATGTACTTCTGCTATGTCAGTGATCTGGTTTGATTTAACAGTATGATATTATCACTAGAAATAACATCATGAAGCTGTGGATATGGATATCATCAGTACTGAGAGAATGTTGACCAGCTTTATTTTTAATTAAAATGGTTTCAGAGAGCCTCTTAATTGTCTAGCTGTCTGTTTTTCTGTATTGTTGGTAGTTCATTAGTTTGATACCAAGGGTCAAAAGGTAACAGGCCGTGCTTAACCAGATGTAGTGCAAAGGTTGAAAAAAAACATTGTAAAGTCTTTGCTGTGCATTGTGTCTGTTCTCACTTAACGAGCTTTAGGAAAATTAAATATCGTGATATATCATGATTTTTATATTGTGAAAATATTGTCAAGTATTGTGATACATTTTTGCTGTATTGTTCACCCCTGGTTCTGGTTTGTCATGGTCTTTTTCTTTGTTGACTGGGCATCAAACTAACAGCCATTCCCTTTTTCCCATCAGATCATCGTGTGGGGAGACTATGGGCGAATGGACCATAAATCTTTTATGGGAGCTGTTCAGATTCTTTTAGACGAGCTGGACTTGTCCAACATGGTGATTGGCTGGTTCAAGCTCTTTCCTCCTTCCTCGTTGGTGGACCCGACGTTGGCCCCCTTGACTAGAAGAGCTTCCCAGTCGTCTCTGGACAGCGGGTCTGGACCATTCGGTCGCTCGTAGCGGTGCGCTGATCGGTAGCGTTGTTGTAGCAGCCAGTGGGCGGGAGTTTTCAGATTTTGCGACGGGTCGCGCCCCTCCCCCCGGTAACACACTGCATGCTTGGTGTTGTGTCTTCTGAGCCTGTTTCTTAGGGGAGAAAATAAAAGCGGTCCTGTGTTTGCTCGCAAAAAACAAAAAAATAACGATGATAATAAATAAAACCTGAAACCTCGCACATCATCGTGCATGAAGAGTGCCCCCACCAGACGGGGAACAGGCAGATAAAGGAAGCTGGAGATGGACTCCTGTTTTGTCCTATTTGAAGCCATTGGGTATGGGTTTGAACTAGGAACCAGTGACTGAGTTCTACAGAAGCCCTGTTTTGTTTTTTTTGGTTTTTTTTTGAAACACAAGGAGGAAAAAAAAATTATCGTTACGTTTTCTTTCTCTTCCATTTTTGTTCATTGTTTGTTTTAAACGTTGATGTATTTGTATGTAAATGGGCTAACAGTGTTTCTTATCAGAGCCTGGGTCATGCCATGCCAACAGATCCAGAGATACACACTGAGAGCTTGAATTATAGTGAGACTGCGCAGAGTACGAGCCCTAATCAGTGGCCACAACCTTAAACCACCTGCACAGATATGCACACATTGTAGTTGATCACGAGACTGTTTGTAGACTTTTAAAATGCAATACAGAGAAGGCTGTCAGCATCTGTAAAAGTGAAGATCTGAAATCCTAACAGGAATGGATTCTCTGTTGATGTTGTATGTAAAGGGGACTCTCTTTTTTGTTTTTGGTTATTATTTATTTGATTTTATTTTTGCATGGACACAAATTTAGCTGAAAAGAAATAATTATTTTCTTGAGATTGCAACTTGCACTGAAAATTACAAATGAAAAGATCAGCCATTTTCAAAAATTTCTATTATTTTTAAAGAGAAATTTCACTAGTGCATGGTTTTCAAGGGGAGTGAACGCAATGGCGTGATTAAAAAAAAAAAGAGAAACCCTGTTTTATTATCTTCGAGACCATTCTGTTGGTCTGTACTGTATTTTTACGGACATACTGATAAACTAAGAAACTTCAGAAACTTTAAGATGAATTTATTTACAGAAGTCTGTTTATGTGACAGAGGTGAAGAAAAATAGAAATTCCTGACTTATTTCGTTGTCAAGGCGGACGCCTTACAAAGATAATGTGCAAATTGTACGTTTCTTTTTCTCCCCCCTTTGTCCCAGGGTAACCGTTGTACGTTTCATTGCTGCTGTCGTCCCCCCACCCTGATATTGTCCTGATGTTTCTGCAGGGCTGTTGAGTTCGTACAGTCTTGTGTTCCGTTAGTTTGTACTTTCATTTGGATTTGATTGATTTAACAAGCATGTTGAAAAGGAATTTTCTGCAACATGGCTTGGGCACACCGTGCAGTAACACAGCATGTTTTGATAAAGATGATATTTGGAAGAAAAAAAGAAAAAAATAGAAGAACTTTTTTTGCAGTTTCTTGTACAGTGCATGTCGACTATCTTGCTTTCGTCCCTAAGCCCCAATTGAATTGTAAGAAGATTTGGCTGGCCTTTAGCGGACCTCCGCAGAGCAATTTCCAACCAAACATTCCACCCGATGACGTCATACCTTGTTGACAGTTCTTTAAACCGATCGAAAAGAGTGATGAGGGAAATTTCATATCCTGATGGAACTACTTCAGAAGAATATTTATCCCCCTGCCCAAGTATTCCGGACGAAAGATCCCAAATTGGATCCTGCATCTCACAGGCGATTGCAGTATTGTGCAGTGCAGTTTTACAGAACAGTCTGCTGGAACTCAGATGAGTCGGGTTGCATGACGGAAATTTTGCCACACAATATGAGTTTCTAGATTTTAGTTTTCTTGCGTAGTTTTGAGAAAGTAAAGTTCATTTAATATATTTTTGTTAGTTGATTTACAAGCCAAGACCAATTAATTTTTTTATTTTCTATTTTTAGTAATTATCAAAGCTTCTCATATCTGGGAAGTAGATGACTCTTCTAGTTAAAATGTCTGAATGGAACTATATGGAGACATTATTCCTCTTCCATGTAAATGGAATTCTATTTTGGTGTTCATTCAATATCTTTTTTTTCTTTTCTGTAACAAGCTATAAATAGTTTCCCTCTGATTTCAATTGTACATATTAGGTGTCAGAAGTCATGGGATTTGGATAAAAAAAAAGAAAAATAATCACATCTATAGATAAGATCTTGCGGAATTGGGATAATGTCTCATTTGATGACAGAGACATGTTATATACCCTTTTGAATGCCTTCTCTTTTTTTTCTGGTGCAATGTGTTCATGCCAAGGCTATGTCTTGGTCAAGTATGGTTGAGTACAGAGATTTATGTAAGTTATTTTTCAAATTAAACAATAAAAAAAATGGATACTACACTGAATTTGCGTGTTGTAGATCACTAATCATCACAACTCACCTAACTGAGAACATCTGGAGAAGAATGGCCTGAATACCTTACTAGTGGCACAGCCATACCTACAGTAAATATTAAGGAGCTTCTAAGACATTAGATATGTTCCACATAAATGAACAACTTCATACTAACAGGTCCAAATAAACAGCAGCTGAATAAAAAATCTAATAGTGTGTTATTGACTGCTAATGAGAATGCAATATATCGCTGTTGTTTTGATCTCCAAAATGAAAACTTGACAAGAGAAGGAAAAAAACATACTTTACTTTTAATGTGTCAATGGAACCAGACTTTTTTCCAAGTCATTTGGGCCGTTTCTTTTGGTCCATTCATCATGAAGATTACACACAACATAAAGAGCAACAGGCATTTTCAAATTATGTGGAAAAACTCAAAAATGGAGATATGAGGTTTTCTTCTGACAACAGTGATATACATAAGCATCAATAAATTATACCTTTGGTATTGTTAACAATTTACATAGTACAAATGTTCAGTAATTACTCATAATGTTAAGCATTAAGGAAAAGTTTATGCATTACAAAGTAGCAGGACACAAGTCATTCATGACTTAGGAATTGTTTTTATACAACTAAGGGTCTTTATTTCATATTACATCATTTTAGAGTATCAAAGAACTAAATCTACATCTAATGATGTAATATGAAATAATGACTCTTAGTTGTATAAAAACAATTTATAACAGTCATGAATGACTTGTGTCCTGCTACTTTGTAATGCATAAACTTTTCCCTAATGCTTAACATTATTAAGTGGATAATACATACTCTGGACATAAATATTTATATTTATAATAATAATGAATTAGGCCTAGGAGTGGGCGATATGGCAAAAGTATACTGTTTTGATACTTTGACATTTTCAAAATACATAGTATGTATCCCGATATGTTGACATACAAACTTAGTGTATTTGTAGTGCCACATTTAAAAAACTGCCATGAAAAACTAAATACAATGTCTTTCAGCATTTCTCTGAACGTTGCACTAAAGATAAATAAGACTAACTGGGTTCTCTTTATAATGAAACATGCAGTTGGTCGGTATTACTAAGTACTATCCACAATAAGCTCAGAAAAGCATATTGTTCATCATGATAAAATGTATCACGATGAAAACTCTTCATACCGGCAACCTCTAACTGGGCTCATTCATTCAGAGTGGTTTGGTGTGAAATGTTCTGTTCTAGAGAAACTAATTAAGTCAGAATTGTTCACAGTGGTGGTGATAGGAAACAGATGCCCTGAAGCATGCCTTAAAGTCTTCCTGACAATAAATTAAATGGTTACTAATACACTGCTTAATGCCTGCAGGGGTGGATTTAGTGATTCTAGGGCTCTCTTCATGGTTAGCTGCATGTGAGGCAAAATAGTGCTCATATTTCACATTTTTTTTCAGATTTATCACCGTTTTACCATTATTAACATTACATATTGTCGCTGTACTGAGAAAAAAAAGCATCTTCATCATTTTTGAGTTGTATTTTTCTGCATCATTTAAATACAGCAACCATGATATACATTGTGTCAAAATTTCATGATGAATAGACCAATAGAAATGCTCCACAATCACTTGGAATAAAATGAACCCATTTGTAGAGAGGCAACCCAAATGTCAAGAAGAGCCATTATGTCCATTTCATGTCTATTTTACCATCGTGGCTGTAAATATGTCTCGGTACGTGCTAATGTACTAGTATAGGCTAACAAATATAAACAAAAACACAGACTTAGTTTGCTCTGCTTTAATCTTTAGCTCAGCTAGGGTTGCTTTTTTCGCATCTCCGGCAGGAAACTCTTCCTCAAAAGTAGAAAAGCTTCTTGTAAAATGTCTCTCAACGTTCAACTTTTTACGAGGCTGAAGTCGCTTCTCATTCACCAGCTTCTTGTTCAAATTTTTCCGTTCCATCTTAAATAGTGCAGCAGTTCTGGCGCCTCAGGAAAATGTGAACAAGAAGCTGACGAATGAGAAGCTGAATTGAGCTTCACGACTTTTTAGTGTTTGTCAGTTTCTCGTTGAAGATTAAACGTATCAGGAAACCAGCTGCAAATAAACGCAAATAAGTCAATTCTTCTCAAAATTGTCGATGCTGATCTTAAATCTTTCTCTTTGCTGTTTTGTTAGTTACTTGCTAAGCGAGATTGTTGTCTGCATTGCTATGGTGACCAGCAGTCTGCATGCCAACCTTCAGGGTTACAGGGTGAATTAGCAGTTACACTATAACTCCAGCTTTTAAGACTATTTCATTTTAAAACTTAGAATGTTTATTTTACTGCAAAGTAGCATTATTTTATTTTTACCTAAAAAATCTAGTTCAGCTGTGGAGCCGCAACAGGACAGTTGGCATGTTGCCGACCCCTGACCCACATTAAGAATGTTTTTGCTCTCCTGAGAAGTTACTATTTTGGAGACACTTGTTTTTGGACAGCGGCGATATAAAAACTCAGATGACATGTCCAAGTTCACTGGTCATTATTATGTATAGTAAATAAAATGGCTATATTTGCATTGTAGACATCACAACACCATGTAAACTGAAAATCAACTTAGTTTCTCTGCAGTGCAGCATTTCACCTCAAACCACTCTGAAAGACTTAGTTATCTGCTGTGCAAAAATTCTGAAAAAAGTTCCCCTTTAAAGCTACAATTATCTCTGCTCATATCTTTGCTTGGCCACAGAACAGACGCTTGTTCTGCAACATACAGTTGTGTGCAAAAGTCTGGGCGCCTCAGTCACCTGATATGTTGATTTTCACACATCCTCTACAGAGAACACACTTCTGCATATTATAATACCCAGTTACTGTTAATTTGCTAGATTTAACATATTAGGGGAATAATGCAGCCTTTTATATTATATTTTTTCTACTGTATTAAACTTGGCAATAAATAGAAACCATGCACTAAAATGAGCAGAAAAATGCCACATTTAAGTTTGCTCCCTGTAGACGATGTATTAACTGATTTTCACTTAGGAAATCAACAATTGATTTTTGATATTTGACCAGGGGTGTTCAGACTTTTGCACACAACCATATGTCTGAAGTAAACATTGCCGTTTACACTATGCCTATTTTTGTGACAATTCCACAAAGTTTTGTCATGATAGTTAAATATTTATTACATTTTACTCGTTAAATAGTCCATGAGAAAGTATTAGAATATATGCCTAGAATGTCACATCTTGAGTTTCATGCAGATAAATGGAACTGTATTTGGTCAAATAAAAAAAAAGAACTACAGAGAAATATTAGCCAACCCCCAGTGGCTACGGTTATGGCTCATGCGAGCATGAGCAAGGTTTGACAAGAAACCAAAAATAAAAAGGGGAAATGTTTTTTTAAGACTCATC